CGCTGATCACGTTAAGTACTTAGGCCATAAACCGCGCAATTGAAATCGAAATATACAACAATAAAACAAAAAAAAAAACCCTGGTATATAAAATTGGTAATGAAATCAAACTGAACACTAAGAATACCTTAAAATAAAAATACAATTATGAATCGGAAAGGTAATTGTTCTGATTGCGCAATTACAAGGCAGTGCTGCAGCTCCAATTTCTTCGCTCGCATCACTGATGCCCTTAACACGACTTGTTGTTGGTAATTGTATCTTTGCGGTTGGAATTTTATTGTACCAACCAACCTGTAAGGATGTTATTTGATTTTGAGTTTGTTGCTGGCATTGCGCAATGGCACTCGGGAAATAGAAGCGACCACGGAAAATAAGTGAGCATTGCTCAATTGCTTTTATTAGCTTTTATCTTTTAGTTAACAGTATTTGGAAACAACTTCAGAGTTTTAATTAACAAGATAAAAATATTTAATATCGAACCGAAGTAATATATATTGATAATATGTAATTGGAAGGCACCCTTTGTGTATGGATCAGTGCTTATTCACTCTCCAGAAGGCTAACTTCATCACTTACTGCTAAGATTTCGTATGCAAATTTATATTTTATTGAAATTCCATGTTAAAACAGTATTTTCGCCAATTATAACTGGCTAACGACTCTTACTAAAACGAGTACACACACAGTAGCCAATTGAACTGCCACTAGGTGCTCCAGCCGAAGCCTTAAATAGCAGATAGGCGTCGTCCACAATATTTACTTACGTCAATTAAAACAAAAACGGTATCAAAAATGTTTGAATATTTCAACAATTGTTGGCAAGCACACATCTGACCAGCATTTAGTAGTGCCTCTATATGAACTCATATCAGGGAAATTGCCAAGTGCTGCATTCAAATGCTGTGCACTCCCGTGTGGTCCACACGAGCCGAAATTGCAGATTTTATCGCATGGGTGTCGCATGGTTAATGCACGCTGCCGGCTGGACCAGCAATCATATAAACTGAAGGCCATCCAATCGAAATGAATGCCAAGTATAGACAACAATTATACTTAAACGTGCCTTTAAATGAACTCCTGTTTTGCGTATGAAAATATTTTAGCATTCTGACGCCTACATGTGCCAAAGAATAGATAGGAGGCAGTTGTGCTATGCTGCGCTTACTCAATAACAGAAATTATATCAAATTCTAAGGAATTGATAGTACTCAATGGATTCGTTGGTAGATTGCGCAATTGAAAATATTTCCAGTACTTGCAATTTAAGTCTGAGTGGAGAGTGTTAAATGCGATAGAAGAAGTTTATTGAATTTTTTTAATTTTACTGAGTATTAAAACTAAATTTTTAAACTATTGCAAATAATGCAATAAATTATAACAAAGACAATACAAGATTATGTAGCATACGTATGACGTAGTTTCTACAAAACGATTTTAAGCAGCTATAAAAACTGTAATGAACCTTCCATATAATGAACAGTTTTCAATACAAACAACGTAATTAAAAGATTTAGATCTTGATATAAGTATATGGGTGTACTATTCTCTAACTCTTTTTACAGTATTCCTCTAAAATCTGATAAGTACTCCAGTTCATTGATATGTCTGACTGGTTATTAAATATTCAACCGTCTCCACAAAATTATGAGGCCTAGGTTAAGTGGAGACATCTGCTGTTAATTATCATATCCTCAAAAGAGTTAAAATATATAAACCGAAAAAGCCAATATTTTTCTGGTCTTCCGGATAAAGTTAAAAAATTCAATTAGTCAAACTTCAGTCTCTGTTCAGTGTCTTTGCAGGCCGATGAGGAAACGATCCGCTAGATACCACTTGTCCAATAATATATAACACATGCTCTTTTAACACACAATTTAGGTTGAATGCAACTCAAAAGGGCTTATCATATAATATTTAATAAAATTATATTGAATTTGGAGAAAAAATATTCATTTTTTAAAAGTTTCATTGAATATTTTCACTCGTAGTCCCCATATTTAGTCTTCATAAAAACTCAACTATCATAAATTTTTGTAGTTTCTTTCCTAATCTTCGTAATTGTATAACAATAAGAGCATTATAGTCAATCTTCACTTTTTGTAGTCATCATGAAAATTGTAGGAGCTATTCAAATATTTTGTACCGCATGAATTGAGACACCTAATAACAGCAAATATCCCTCTGTATTACCTCATTTAAACTACTCTTGCGTACTATACTTGTACATCAATTTATTTACAATTAATAAATGAAAATTCTATGTCTTTTATTGAGACCTATTGAATTATATGGAGAAAAGTTTAATAACTGTAAGTCCATTACGCAGTGTAATAGCGTATATTTACTATATGTTTCCATACAGTAAAGTGCGTTGTTATTATTAAAAAGTGATTAAACTAACTCTACAACACTAAAATAAATAACAGATTAAACCGAATTAAGCATAATTAAATCAGATAAGCTTCATATACACAGCTACTGGCCACTATGGTAAACAACAGTGCATGAAGCATGAAGATTGAAGTTTGAAGCTCACCACGTTGTAGCGCCTCTGCTCGTAAATGGTTGCTTCTAAATGTTCCTACAACTAAATTCATATGAAGTTAAAATTGATTACCATTTGCGGACCCGAATTCATAAAATAAAAATAATTATGCAGCCCCATTAACTACATTTCCCACTTACAACTAATAAAATATTCCCCTGTTTCATGATATGATTCAAGTATTGAGGATCAGGTTTCAGCCCGCAAATTGGCTGATGCGCCTCATTCGAAATTCTAATGGCTATGTGTGCAATTATGAAAGATACTATTACGAGTATGCAGCCATAACAATAATTTCTACTGAACTGAGCGAAATTGTTTATTTATTTATAATTAGATATAATTGTATATAAAATGCAACGATGATCAAGTGATTTGTAAATAAAAACAATAATTTTCTTTGTGTTGGTTGTTAAATTTTATAAAAATCCAAAACTTACATGAAATTTAATAATTGAGTTTCTTTATCAAGAAAATTTTTAAAACTTTTTTAAATCAATCGGTCAATCAATTTCTACGTAAAGGCATTTCGTCGATTCAAATAAAGCTAAATCATTCTCTAGTGTGGTGAGTTCCCTCTCCAAATCTCCAATGCGCTTCTTCTTACTTGTAGTATCTGTGTATACTGATGAGGTCATATAAACCCTTAACGTTTCCTTGTATCTATCGCGTAGACCCTGAAAAATATTTTAAGAAGAACATTATAATACATTATTCAAGCATCATTACACAATTCTAAATCTATGTTACCCTTAAAATATCTATTCGCTCTTCAAGTGTCAATGCACGTCTACCTATGTAGACTCCCTTCCTCATTATTCCTCTTTCTCTTTCCTGCTTTGTTTCCGTTTCCTTTTTACATATAGGATGGTCTATAATATCCTGTCTAATTTTCTTTAAGTACTTGGGCACCTTTCCAAATCGCTTAGAGCAAACATTTTCTGGAAGTACACCAGCTCCCACAAGCATATATGTACTGCCAGTTATTGTTTTACTGACCATTGGTAGTTGCACCTTTCGTTTTAACAACGGAATCTTGTCAATATTTATCTGAATATAATCCTTCTTTTCTCTTTCTATTTCAACTATATCCTCCCGATTAAAACGTGGTACTGGTGGTGCTCTACAAGCTGGCACTGGACAAACGTGATCTTTAGTACGGCGCCATCTTATTGGCCGTGGGTGTTTATATTCACAAGCTTTAGGTATCGTAAGCTTTGGTGGGCCCATTGACTTGTGCTTATGTCTTTTAGAATCTGTATATACCAGCACACCATCGGCATCGATTATTATATCCGGTTTGTTTAATTCTTCAAATATAGCCTTTTTATACTGAGAAATGTATCCATACTGCTTTGTTCGACGTTTCTCCTCCACTGCTTTATCGACATCATAGATTGTCTCATTATGTTCGGTTATATAAACGAGCGACATTTCTGTGAAAACTTAAATTGCAAAAATAATAAAAGAAAATATATTTTGCAGTATAACACTTTAATCGAAAATAATCGTCTTTGTTCAAAAAAAAGTATGACACACGCTCAACTTTTAAAAAATGTATATACATTTTTTTTCACAATTTGATTGGACACAGTATTTCAATGATAACTAGAACTAAAAGCAAATTCTCTGATACAAACAGTTTTGTGGAACATAGCTTAAATTGGTGTCCACATTCATAGTCGTTAAATAAATTTTCTGTACCATAAGCGCAATGCTCGTGCAAAAATCGGAACAAGTTCCAGACTAAAGTATATTACAGGTGATTGTCAGAATGTTTTATGTTTGTACAAAGCAAAGATAAACAATAATGTTTCTAAGAGTACCCCGCTGGCAATACTATGCAGCTTTGAAAACAAAGAAACCAGTACACCCTATTGATAAAACGAAGAATATCTGTAATACACACATTGTGAAGCCCAGTAAGACATTTAGAAAACAATAAATCTGCAATGGCTAAAAGCCTTTCGATTATTGCCGGGTGATGCCGAAAGGGAAGAAAACCATTTTCCTGTAACTTCTCTGAACCACAACTTTGAAAGCGAACGTTGGAATAAGTTACTATCCAGTCAGTCTGTTACTTAGGAGTTAGTAAGTATATCTTTAGTAAGGTTTAGGGACTTAACTTTTACTATTTCATTCTCTTCATCCCAAAAATTGTGTACTTTATGTCAGTCGTACGAAATAGAAAAACATTTATGAAAAAAAAGACTAATTTATCCTGGCACTGATAAGCGAAGGCATTAGTGCGAATATGCAAGACTATATTAAGACTATAGTATTGTACATATAGTCTAATTTTTAACTGTTCTAATATCAGCCCTTTTTGAAATTATGAAAATAGCTTTTATTATTTAGGTCGTAAAAACCTATATATATCCCAAATATAAAAATTATGAAATTTTCTCAAATAAAATAATAAATCTATGCACTTTTATTTCACTGTATTTTATTTTGGAATTTTTTTTAACTTTAATTTTTAATATCTCTCCTTAAATCAATTGTTATTCATTATTAAAATGCATTTGTTTGAATCTAGCAAAGCTATATCCTTTTCTAATTGCGATAATTGATTTTCCAGGTTAGTTTTACGCAATTTTCGTGTAATTGTATCGGTAAGCACAGGCAAACTCATGTAAACATTATATGTGGTATTGAACTGCTCCTTAAGATCCTTAAAAAGAAAAACATTCTTCAAAATTGCTTTTACTCATATTTAAGATAAACTTACTTTTACCATCATCTTCTGCTCTTCTGCAGTGAGTATGTGTCTACCCTTATTCCAACTAGATAACATTGCTTCCATGGCCTGCTGCTCACAATATTTAAGTGCATTCTTATGCACTTCTAGATATTTGGGAATTTTGGCAAATTGTTTTGAACAAGTATGGACTGGAAGCAGACCAGAATTTAAAAGTTCATGGGTATCACCGCGCACACTATCCACTTGTTTCAGCCCATTAGGTTTTCGTACAAATTGCTTAACGCGATCAATATTTTCATTAATAAAATCTTTATTACTCATTTTGAATCTATGTTTTTGCCAGTATGTGTTGAATTTGGGTACAGCTGGCAATGGACAAGTGCGATTTGGACAAATGTGATCCTTGAGACGACGCCATGCGACCCTGGCCGGACGCTGATAACCGCATTTTCTTAGCTGCTGCGGTGGTTTACCCATCGTTTTGTTGGGATAAATCTTTGTATCTGGTAAAATGAGCTCGCCCATCTCTGTTTTTTTTACAATAGGTAACTTTCTTTCTTTCCGAATAGCGTTCTTGAATTTGGACTTATACTGTACATGCTCAATTATGTCCTCCTGACGCACCTTACCATAATCATACACTGATTCATTATGGTGAGTGATGAAAACTAAAGACATTTTTTCAAAAATACGAAATAAAAGTGCAAAAAAAAATACGTGGGTTGTGCAAAAATGTATAAAAAGTAAAAAAATATAAAATTTAAAAGAGAAAATTATTGCTTATTTTATTTTAATCCATTGTATATATCATTTTGGAATATAAACTCAATGAAAACTTTGCTTAAAATTCATTTTGTTAGTTAAATATTAAAATAGTTATATTCTATTCTGTTTAGAATCAATTTGTGTTAGAGTGAAATTCTGAATAATCACATAAGCGTGCTATTGTCTCCTTATGGCCTTGAGAAACACAAAATACATAAATCAATATTGTCTTTAAACACCATTGAACTCCGTCTTCTTCGTTGGATGAGAAAAATGATAAAGTATCTCGAAAGCGCAGCAACTAATTCAATTAGGTCTAATTCTCTTCTCGAAAATGTTAAACGCAAAAAATAAACACTATGAATCAATCTTAATGAAATTCATATCATTCGGTTTCATCATTTCATCTCTAATAACCACTTAAAGCAAATTATTCTCATGTCTTCTTTAAAAATTACAAGATCCATAAGTATTTAAGCTTATTATCTGTGGCCAGTTAATTGGCGAGAAAAGTGATTTATGGCAAGAACCAGTTTAGGTGGAAGTGGCAAAAAAGACTGAAAAACTTATCTGAAATTGAATAATAAATAAAAGTAGCTAATAATATCTATATTTATCATATTATTATAGGTATTATTATATTATTAATTATTATGTAATTAATTGAATTTATTAATTATTATTAATTTTTAATGTGCCACTTCAAAATAGTATTTTTCAAAATCGTTTATTATTACAGATTTAAAAGGATGTTGAGTTATATTTTTCAACCAAGTTCTGTACCCAAAGAACAGTAGAAATATTAGATAGACCTCGCTCAGTCCCATTAAACTTTATCTAAGCGTATACCTTTAATTGATACCGACAAAATTTTTCAATTAGGAAATTTCAATTAGGTATTTATCGACATTTTATACCGATACGTCTGCTAAGATCACCCTAGTGTTACTTCTACGCGGCAGATAATCACATTTAAAAACTCATGACTCTGTTCTCATATCTAATTAAGTCACAGCGAAATTTTAAAAAACTTCCCTCGAATTTAACAGCAAATATTTAAAGTGTATAACATTTACTTACCAGCATTCGCCTACAGATGTAGCTGTGCTACGAATTTTATGAGTCCACTCTAAAAGAAACTAACATATCTCAATGGTGAACAATCCACTGACGTCTTCTTATCCAATGAAAATTCTCTTAATTGTGCAAGATTTCTTTCTGTAAACAATACATATTCCCAAATCACTAATATGTGTTGTGTTTTAAGAAATATTATATGAATAACTGATTTATTATAAGATTAGTAAAATTCTTTAAACAAATTCAACACAAATTAAAAAATTTTTGACCTTTATTGAAGGTGCTCTGCTTTTCCACCAGGAACTATGTAATATACAACTCTTCTCATTCCAAAGAAAAGAACAGTATAACAATTTTCAGAGAAAGGAAACGGGTTATTGACTAGATAACTATTGTAAAACGCTTCCTGTTCGAGTAGGTCTATTTAAGTGAGATATTCGAGCATAACTGTCTGATCACACAAGTCACAATAAATTTTTACACATAGCGACAATTACAGTAGATATTGACATAGATTACTAGAGGCCCTTTGCTCAACTGGGAGAAGAGGACTGCCATAAGTAAGTAACCGTTGTTTGCAATTCAGTAGATGACTAATGTCATTGTTATTAAATGGAATAATTAAACTCAAGGTTGGACCCCGACAAATTTAGGGCATTTATTGTCCCAACACCATATCCTTGTTTCGCACTCGCTACAGTAGCTTTATAGCTCGTTATCATAAAAGTTTGTGATTCGAGCGTATGAAATTGTCTGCCTTCGCTGTATGACTAAGAAAACACAAAATAATTGAGGTCTATATTTTCTTTACTTATTACTGGCTGCGTCACCAGACTGTACTTCATACAGTTGGCCAAGCTATCTCTGAGCGCCCATTTATGTTGTTATATTTTTAATTAACTTTGTTTAGCTATGAAAATTGATTCTGTACCGTCACAACCCACCGCCTGCTGCAGTCATCAGCCAGAGCTGCTTATTTGCAATTAATGGAAAGGCACACACATATTCATTAACTCAAATCATTTTATTTAAAATTAATGTGTGTTTTAGTTGAAACTCTAAACGACACCAGGTACACCATAAGGAAACATGAAAAGGCCACTCCAAGGCTACAGCTGAAGGTAGCAACCTCAAGCGCAGAAATACATAACTCTTCGTCTCTGATAATTAACAAAAGTGAAAATACGAGTAGAAGATTTATTTAAGCTTAGTGGTGTGACTTGTTGTTAGGTAGGCGTTAATCAGCTTGCCAATCAATTTCTAGTTCCAAGGTAAATTGCGCAAGACTCTGCTAACTCGATTAATTGGCAGTAAATTTAGTACTTAGTTATAATTAAGAAAGTGAAATATGCGCAATCCAAATCTTTTGAAGACATAAACATAGCTAAAACTTCCTTAACTAATGGACTTTGGGCGCCTATCGGGGGCGTATATTTTTTATAATGGTTAGTGGCGAAATAGTAAACTTGAAAAACATATTTGTTTTTAGATTAAATTTTTTTTTAATAATTTATGAAAATTGGTTATATTGCGGAGCCACTTTCATAACTATTTGTTTTGCTGGCGTACTAGGAGTACTTGAAAGTAAGTGCTTGCTATTCAAGTAATGGAAAGCGAGTATATCTGACGACTGCCGCTGAAAAGTACGTCATTAAGACATTGTACATGTTGGTAATGTTGGTAATTGTAGGGCAAAAGTTAATATGAGCTCATTTCTATAAAAATTATTGCAGTTAAATATTTCGTTGCAAAAGCACTGAAGTTGCGACTACGTAAACAAGCGCCTCACTGCACTCTGAAGGAAGTTAGCCAAATTGCAAAAATGTGCAGTGAGGTCACGAACGTGTTCCAAATAGTTTCCGATCGCAAGATCCAATACCAAAAGCACATATTAAAATAAACTGTAAATTAAATTTTATACACTCATAAAATAATTTTATACAACCTGAGCCCCTTTCTTCATTTCATAATAAAGTGATAAAATACAAAATGTTTGAGTTTGATAGGAAAGCGCTTCTGATTGACTTCACTTGATCTGCATGTAGACAGTATGACACAATATTTATGTTCCTTACCAAATAATTTAATTAAACATTTGTTTCGAAAACGTGGACTCTAGTAACACAGTTCCCATTATTTACTACTCAATTTTTATATTAATTCCTACTATGTGCAGTAATGGAATAAACTGCAATACATGGATTTATCGCAGAATAATTACTGACCATCAATTTCAAAGACACATTAAAATCATCTGAGGTATGTAGATGTTAATATTTTAGTCAAAGGAACAAAATTCAATTTAACTGCAATAACTTTTACTACCGAAATTCAGTTGCAAGTCTTAAAACTCGTGTTAATACAAATTATATCATTCTTAGTTCATGTTCCAAAAAAGGCAATAGTTATCTGGATTATACCTTTGAATTGCACATTACTGACAATTATAACTAATCACACACAAAACATCAAAATTATTTATGAAAAAATGCAGCAATAAAAAATATCATTTAAAATGTAAACGATGAACAATGTAATAAACGTTTGAAAATTGCAAGAATTCGGCAAAGAGCAAATGTAATGAAACGCCAGAACAATATGTACAAACTCGACGATCTATTAATACAGCAAATAAAACATTTATATAGCTTAGTGTACATTCGAAATAAATCGTATTTTATTTGAAAAGTCTATTGTGATATATGAAGCGAAATTATATGGGAGAACAATATTCTTCTGTAAGTTCATGAGTGTGATAACAACTGGATAAAATTTTTAAGTAAATGAGATGATGATTATAGAGATAAGTCGTTATAGTACCATATAAGCAGATACACTATGATCATCATCATTACTAACAAAAGAAGCTTCGTTATCTCTGCTTCGCCTGCCGTTGTTTTCTCTCTTTCGTGATGATCTCAAACTTCAGTTCTGTAACTGAGAGAGTCTCAAGAAAATGGGGAACGGGGAACATATTATATTTATAGGTATATATATATATTATATTATATTTATTTATTATTTATTCTATTGTTATATTGAAACTATGTATTTTGTAGAGATGAACCTCATTAGTCAGGGTATTATATTCTCTAATTGGATGCAGTTTGTTTTGATTTAATGATTTATTGGGTGACCTCTGAATATCTTAATGCATGCTATATTTAATTTGAATTATAGAAAAATTCGGTATTTATATTTAACATAATAAGGTTGTAGACTAATATAACTTTTCATTTATTGTTTCCTTTATGTTAATGGCACTGATTTTTCCACTCCTAGTTATGATTCAAAAGTAGGAAGAAATAACATAACAAATAAAAGAACCGCAATCGTACTGTAAACTAACAGAATTCAGGTTTTAAAGTAACGATAAATAAAGATAAATTCTAATTAATTACTATTACTTACGAGTAGGCATGGGATATCTCAGTTAAAATTTGTAGATCATAGCTTTGGTACTATTAATCTCATTTTTTTGAATCCAGAAAACCATCACACAGTACTGCTTTGAGAGACTGAACACAATTCACAAAAAAGTATTAGTTCCAGTTTATGAGATACACAATTGCAAAGTGCTTGAAGCTTCCGGTTCAAAATATGAAATTTGCAATAAATATGCAAAAGAATTAAGCTAGTAGCTTCAGTTTTTTGTTGCTACAGTTTTGAGGCAGCTGAACGGAAATCTTATTTTTTATATCAGCTGCTATAAAAAATGTTCGGTGAGCACGCGTAGATGCATTTCCGCTTGCGATTTATGAGGTGAAAAAGTTGACGTTCAGCTTTTTTGCCAAAGGAAATGATTACTGCACCATTGGAACTTGTTGACGTGCTAGAATATTTTAGAAGATTGAGTAATAAAAGTGACCACGTATTAGAAGCGAAAGCTTGTATTGC